GGTGGGAACTATTAATAGGCAATATCAGGATGTCTGGGCTTTCTCCCGTTAGCCTATAAGCTTGAATCAAATTTGGGCTCGGCAGGCTTTATAATACAAAAACCCTTTGAATAGAGGACTGTCCTCTATATAGGACAGTTTATAAACTGCTAGCCTACCCTGCTGACACATTTATTCTTGGAAGATATATAATGAATTACAGGCTCACAGGAAATTAAATGTATGACAAACCAGTTGAACAAACACGCTCCCACCATTCGTGATGTACCATATTTTTCACTCTATAAGATGCACCTAGTTTTTAGAGGAGGAAAACAAGAAAAAAATATTCTGAATCAAATGGGCACATAATCACAGGCACATTCCCCATCACTTCCCCATGGGCTGCACATCTGACAGACTTACTGCTCACACATATTCGCTCTATAAGACGCACAGACATTTCCCTTTACTTTTGAGGGGGAAAAAGTGCGTCTTATAGAGCAAAAAATATGGTAAGTTTGCTGAGGATTAAATAAACATGGCCTAGTGTACACTGGTAAAGAGATACGCCAGGTCTTACATTACAAGCACCAAGAAAAATCCACCCAATCTGTGATTTATGGTACTAGTGCCAGGTCTCAGTTATTTAGGTCTTTTCTGTGGCTCCAAGGCCTTATGGATGACAAAACCACCCCAGGATGAGAAACCGGGGGTAAAAGAACCTGCTGAATTCTGTTACATTCATATTACTTAATTCTCTGTACACAGAAAAAATAGTGCTATTGGTTTCAGTTACTATAAACTTCAAATGCTATAGAAAAATTCTGAGGCAGTGGGCAGATGACTTGTGCTTCTAGAGCTATCATGCTATGGTTTTGAGTTAAGCTGTCTTAAATGAACAGGCTTGTCCCTTTTTGATTCTAGCAAATGTGAAGGGTGATCAGGAATACAGCAAGGACTCTAGCGGCCCTTAGCAGCCTATTAAAACAGCCTCGTTACTCATTTTTTCTAACCAAAAATGAAACAGACATATTCTTTGGGAGGCAGAGAACAAAAGTAAAAACAGGCATGGCTGATTTTAGGTTTCTCTTTAATTCTGTTCTCTGCCTATTAAGGCACCCATATGTGCCAGCATGAGCAATAACTGGATTTTATACTTTGAAAAATAGTTCCCAGAACTGTTACCTAAAAGCCAGATATAAGGGGTTGAGGAAAGAACTTCTTGCATTTAAAACTATATGCTCTTCCCCTTTGCAATCTAACAATCAACTATATTTTCCATAGATTTCAAATTTCCAATGTGTCAACCAATCCAGCTTAACTAAAGAATATGTAGGGTGCTATCCTATGCATATTTAGCCAGGGAAAGTCCCATAACTCCCAGCATCCCTCCAGGCAGCTGTGTTGGGTGGGACATGCTGGGAATGAAGACCTTTTCAGTCTAATCGTGCATAGAATTGTGCCATGTGTCTGCTGCTAATGCAGCGGTTCCCTCTCCCCTTTTTTAAACATAGGGCTTCAAAAGGGACTTGTCATTGAGGCACAATTGCTAATTTATACTGAGTCCATGCCTTAAATAGTTTTCTTAGCTATTACTCTTTCAAAGCAGAAGTCTTTTGTGAGGAACTGTGGCATGAAAAGTCTCTGTCTCTCAGCTGAAATATAAAATGGATTATAAGCTAGACATTGTATTGTTCCGGCTTGAGAACAGTTGGTAGATTATTTCTTTTTTCTTGCCAAGGATGCAGGATGACCTTCAGGTAGCAGATAAGCTCCCTTCGGAAGGCAGACTGGGTGCAGGCATAAAGGTACATGTTGATAGCAGTGTTAGTCATTTCCAGCATAGTACCCAGATCTGCCACAATATTAATGCTCTTGGTATAATCCTGTCTCTCTATGTTATAGTAGCGGGTCTTGATGATGATCTGGGTTACAAACCTTGGGGTACAAAGACAGGTGTATGTCATGGAAACTGTAATCAGGAGGATGACTGACTTTTTCTTCCAATTCCCAAAATGGGTTTGAGAGGGGATTCTAGGTAACACTTCCCCAGTGTGACAGTGCACTTTGTTATGGTGGATTATCTGCTGCAGAGTGAGGCTGTTCAATGTGAAGATGATGATGTAGGGGATAATATACATCAGAGAAGCCTGGGACCACACAAGCACTTCAACATATGTGCTAGAGAGTTTAGGATTATACTTGCAGATAGCATGTCCTGTGCCATTTTGTGCCTCTGAATAGTTGGACCAGTAATGGGGAATGGCCAAAGTGTAGCTGCAGACAAGAATCACAGCAATAGCATAAAGTGTGTTCCTGGGGGAACAGATTTTCACCCGTTGCCTGATGGTGTTGATAGCAATGAATCTCTCTACAGTGAAGGATACAGTCAACCAGACAGAGGTGTTGACTGCACCATAGTTAAATACATCCCGCAAGGTGCACCAAGGATCTTCATACCAGAATGGTCTTATGCTGAAATATTTTGTGGTAATCTCAACAATGACAAGAAGAACAAGGACCACTGTGTCTGCCAAGGACATGGCCATGAGGTGGTAGCGACTGGAGGTGGAAATAAGACGGTCTTTTTGCCAAAAAATTATTAATGTCATAATGTTTGCTGCAAGACAAAATATGAAGACAGTAAAGGCATAGAAATATAGTAGAGCTTATTCTTTGATTCTATTTATATATTTATGCATGTAATACGGGATTAAAAATGGGATTCACCACTAGAAATGTTCCTATCACAGAAGTCCATATTTATATTATTACATAGAATTTGGGATCCTGTATCTTTGTCCTCTCTGCATCCCTATCCCTAAGGGCTCTGTAAAGTATTAATCCTAGACAAACTACTATTTCCATCAGTCTGGTCATGGTATGTCCTTCCAAGAGATGCTTGTTTGGCACCTATATTTCTACATTTCACCTGGTTTTTTATGCATTGGGTGAAGTCCTTTCTATTTTTCCAGGATTTTTAGTCCTTCTGTTCGTTTTTAAATGTATCATTATGTTTTTAATTTTTTCTGTGCTGCTGGTTTTATCCTGTTTAAAACTTATGTTGTATTTTGTGGTTTTAATTTAATTTTTAAAATCCAGATAAGCTTTGGCTATTGGAAGGTAGAGACATATAATAAATTCTTTCACTTCCCTATAGAAACTAGACCACAAACATGTTGCTGTTCATTTCTAGGTAGCTGGAATGTCAAAGGCATCATCATCACAAGCATAATACAATAAATAAAGAGTACTGCAGATGATTCCATTGTAGTAGTTAAGCAAACTACTGCTGTGTCCACCCCCAACACCAAGATCATGTTCCAGGAGAACATGATGCAGAGAGCTCCCTCTTCCATTGCACTGTATTGGGGGATAAATCCAGGCCCTGGCTATTGATTGCATAGTGTGGTATAGGAAAAGCTATTCAAGTTCCCTGCAATTACAGAGTTAGACTATAGAGACTTTCTATTTACTGCATTTATAGACTAGCTTTCTGCTAATACACCCAAGCTGACTCACATACTAAAATATAGCCAAATCAAAACACTAAAAGTCACACCAGACTTTATTGGTTCTTATCAGGAATTGAAAACTTGCTCCTATTCCACTGGGGGCAAGATGGCATTATATAGAGTTTTAGCTGCCCTCTCTCTCTTTTAGCTGCCACAGACCCTAGAACATCCGTGGCTGTTTCATCTTGGGCTTCTCTACATGAGAGGTTTAACACACTGCTTTACTGTGGGTGCATCTTCAGTTTTTGTAGTAGGAGAAAAATGTGTCCTTTACATGGTTCCCCAGCCCCACCTCAGCCAGGACTTGTATTTTTCTGCTTTTCTATATATTTATTAAGTGCAAGGTGGTGCTGTGGTATGGCATAGAAGATTTGTGGCAGGAGACACGACTTGTTCCACTTTGCTGTGGTTTAAAATTTAATAGCAGACCTTCCTTGCATTAAAAAAAATAAACTGCTTAAGAAGGCTGGAAAAGATGGGAATGGTTCTGGAGGACAAGAAAGTCATAAAAAGACCCCACAAACTGCTGTGATTGAGGGATCTTAAGAACAAGCTAAATGCCCCATGTAGAGATACCCTAAAAGATGGGTGTGATAGCAATATTGTAAACTCCTTTGAGGTAAATTTCAAGAACCAGTTGAGATGTTAAAAGCATAAAGCCAGTCAAAAGCAGCTTTAGTTGAAATTTTGCTTTAAAAATAGTAGACTTCCTTCTCTAAAGATTAGCAGCAAAGGAAAAGCCAGTACTTTGACATCTTTCATAGTCAACATGGTTCTGGCTGAAAGAAATCCAATGACAGACACATCTCCTAGATTAGGAAGAGGCACTTCCTCCTCTTTTTTTTTTCCTCTCCCATAGTTCACAGTAATATTTTTGCCCTCCACACTCCCCTTTTCTGCAAGATCTCAATATCTGTACCCGTTGCTGGCTGCTGCTGTCCCTCGTACATCAATCTTGTACATGTTTGCTCTTGTTGCTATCTCTATCTCAGTAGCTCTCCTCCAAGTTCTGCTATAGTCATACTCACATGGGATCCCGATTATTGCTAGGAGTGGGTAGAATACTTTTTTAAGGGTTATTATCCAATGTTCTTCCATCACTTTGCAATCACTTTCTTTAGCAAATTTCTTGGCTCCCACAACTATGAATGGCAGTGCTCCTCTTCTTCTGTGTAGCAGGATTGTTCTCTGGTTCTTATACTGTCTGTTTAAATAAACTATTACTATATTTAATTTACTGTAACACCTATAAATCTCTGGTTAATGATTAAAGTGCAATGAGGCAGTTATTGGTCAGCACAAATTTAAACTTGAGCAATTTAAAAAGCAGAATAGAGTTACATATATATGGGCAAATTAAGTCATGATGGCAGGATGGCTCCAGCTTAGGTTCAGAAAACTATTGAATAAAGAACTGGCTAGGTGACAGATTATATACATAATTCTGTGCACCACTTTTTAACTGTCTTGCTTGCCTCTATATTTTTGGTATTTCAAAATTAGGACTAAGAAGAAAAATGTATTGCTGCAATCGCCAAATACTACTGGACAACACAATTATTCTATGAAGCATTCAGGCTGGAGGAAAACCTTGGTGGAAAGTAGAAAGCCCTCAAATATTAAAGATGATAAGACAAAAAGTTCTACCAAGATGAAATAGGTATGTGCTCAATATGAGAAAAGCTTTAAAGAAAAGTCTGCCTTTGGGAAACACAAAAACAAGGCAGGACCATATAAATGGATACATTATGGAACAGTTTTTTTTTTAAAAGTGAAGAAAAAGCCTTTACAAATAGCAAATGTGTGTTTTGTCCCAAAATTATAACAATGAAATCTTATTAGGTGTGTAGTCCATATTCACATTTTTGCTCAACATCTTGAACAGTATTTGGGGTATGAAAAAGATGCTGAAAAATGCGGCATATGCATGGAAGTATGGCCCTAAAGATTGGTGCCAGCTTCACCTTAGATGACCAACAATCCCCCTGAACTTTCTATATTGGCTAATATGTTCTCAAAGCCTTAGGGCTTTTCTTCGCTGGTTTTTCACATGACCAACTAATTTCTCCAAAGTGCTAACAAAGTAGTAAGCATTTTTCAGTTACTGCAATATGGAAACTGGTACAGGGTTGGGAAGTTACTGGTTACAACTTCTGGAATATATTAAAATTAGTTATACAGCATGTGCAAGGAGACCAACTATGGTGAACAGCGTGATGAGGTACCTACAACTGTATCAAATAAGCCAGATTCTCAGCAGACCTAATTAAATCTATGAACTTAAGTCATTATATATGTCAGAGGGTTTGCTTTAATCATGACCAAATCTGGTCCAACCATGTGTATTTTAAAAACATACATTTAAAGGATTTGGGTCTAAGGACTGTTTCACATTATCCAAACAGATGCATCTATGAGTGTGCATGCTATGTCAGAGGCAGAAAGGGAAACTTTCCTAGTATAAGCACATGGTTCATGAGTCTACAAAACCCATCATTTTCTTATTTAAATCCACTACTCTAGAGTCTGAACACATTTTAAAGAAGAGCAGCAGAAACAGCTATCAATTTAAACTTCTTGTATTATTAATAAAGAAATACAGGAAGATGAGCCTGGTAGCCCCATTGAGTGCATCTGGGTCAAAGGAACATAATAGTAGGAGTCTACTATCCCTCCACACAATCAAGGAAAAGATGGAAATGACCCCTTTGTTAAGCAAATTGCCAGTATTTCAAGGAAGCTGATGTGGGAGTAATGGGGGACTCAAACATCTGTTGGGAGACAAATTCTGCCCTCTGAGCAATTCATGGCGGTTAACTTTCTTCTACATAAAGTGGAGCAGGGAACTAGAGGATCAGCTATCCTGACTTAATATGAACAGGGATGATTTAGCAGATAAAGTGGAAGTTACAGGAGTTCTGGGGGAAAATTACCACAACATAATTGAGTTCTCAATTTTAAAGGGAGCAAAAAATGGAGTATAGCCATACACATACTCTGGATTTTGGAAAAGCTGATTTTAATACACTCAGGACAATGGTAAGCAACGTTCCATGGCAAGTGACTCTAAGAAAAAAAAAAGAGCTCAAGGTGGGTGGAAGGTTTTGAAAAAGGCAATTTTAAAGGCACAATTACAAGCAATTCCAACAAAAACAACACATAGTGGGCAACAGAAGAAACCAGCGTGTCTCCACAAAAAAGCTGGAGTTGAACTAAAATAAAAAAAGACATGCACAGGAAGTGGAAAGAAGGCTAAATGACAAAAGAGGAGTACACACAGGTGGCGCTGAAGTGTAGGAATGACATCAGGAAAACTAAAGCTGAGAACGAGCTAAGGTTAGCAAGGGATGCCAACAACAACAAAAAGGGTTTTTTCAGATATGTTCACAGTAAACAGAGGAAAGAAATGGTGGTTCAACTTCGCAGTGAGGAGGGCAAAGTGGTAACAGGATGACAAAGAAAACGGTGAAGTGTTCAATTTGACTCATTCTTTTCCTAAAAGCAGGTCTATGACCCCTCAGCAGAAAGGAAGTACAAACCAAGAGTCAGGACTAAATTTCAGATTAATAAATGGTCACTATCTTTGACTGAGTTCAAATCTCCAGAGCCTCATGAGCAGCATTCTAGAGTAATAAAGGAACTAGCAGATGAACGCTCAGAACTACTGTCTATTATCTCTGAGAAATCATGGAGTGCCAAATAACTGGGGTTTTTCCTATCTTCAAAAAGGAGCATCCTGGGAACTACAAACCAGTCTGACATCAATCCCTGGGAAAATTTGAGAGCACACAATGAAGACGTCAGTCCGTAAGCATCTTGAAGACAATGAATAATTATTAGAAACCAGCAAGGATTTGTAAGGAACAAGTGTTGCTGGCCTAATCAGATTTTTTTTTTTTTTAATTCAGTAACCTCCCTTGTGGACTGTAGGAATGCTGTACACATATCTTGCTTTTGGCAAAGTGCCCCATGACATTCTGAGCAACAAACTGGCCAAAAGTGGGCCTGATGGAACAACTAGCAGGTGGATCCACAGGTGGCTACAGAGCTGAACACAGAAAGTGTTTCTCAGTGGCCCCTTCTCAGACTAGGGAGAGGTAATGAGTGGGGTACTGCAGGGTTCCGTCCTGTGCCCAGCACTCCAACATTTTTATTAATGACTTTGATAAAGAGGTGCAGGGGATTCTGATCAAATTTGCAGATGACACAAAATTGGGCAGACAGCTAATACCCTGGAAGACAGAAACAAAATTTAAAATGGTTTTGAAAGGCCGGAGTACCGGGCTGAAAGCAACAGAATAGGGACAATTGGAAAGTTTTACATCTAGGACAAGGGAACCAAATGCACAGTTACAAGATGGAAGAAACTTGGTTCAACAATCCTGCAAGTGAGAAGGATCCTGGAATTGTCCTTGATCACAGGTTAAATATGAGTCAACAATGTGATGTGGCTGCAAAGAACGGTAATGCTATACTGGGCTGCATTAATAGAAATATAGCTTTCAAATCAGGTGGGGTACTGGTTCCCCTCTATTTGGAACTGGTTAGGCTCCTTTTCTAGTATTGTCTCCAGTTGTGGACACCAGAAAGATGCAAATAAACTGAAAAAGTTCAGAGGAGGGCAACAGTGATGATCAGGGGCCCAGAAACAAAGCCCTGTGAAGAGAGATTGAATGAGCTGGGCATGTTCAGCCTTGATAAGACTGAGGGGAAGTTATGACAGCACTTTTCAAATACTTAAAAGGCTGTCATGCAGAGGAGGAGCAGGATCTCTTCTCAATCATTCCAAAGTGCAGGACATGGGATAATGGAATTAAGTTACGGGAAGGCAGATTCTGGCTAGAGCTGAGGAAACATTTCCTGGCTGTTAGAGCAGCGCAGGAATGGAACCAATTACCTAGGGAGGTTGCAGGCTCTTCCACACTGGAGACATTCAAGATGCAGTTGGACAGCCACGTCAGGAATGCTTTAACTTGAGGTCCTGCAATGAACAGGAAGTCGGATTCCATGGCCTTTTAGGCCCCTTCCAACTCCACTATTCTATGATTCTGTAGCTGAACTGTCTCTAAACACATTCAATACAGAAGCAATGTACTTGGCCTGTAGTCTCCATTAAGAGGCAACTTTCATTAGCACCAAAGGAAATTTAGTGGAAGCTTTTTCCAGATCATACAATGTCTTACATAAGTGTTTGGAAAATTTATTGCCACATATTTATTTATTTATTTTCCATATCGCCCAACAGCCAAAGCTCTCTGGGTGGTTCACAAAGCCCCCACCGATAGTTATTCAACAGACAGAGTCTGGCTTATCAAGTTTAGTTGTTTATAGAGATAGCACAGAATATTGTCTACAAATAAAATCAGATTTCCTGAAGTATTTCCAGTTCATATGATGTAAACAGTGTTGGAACCTTCAAATGTGTGAAGAGGGAAACTGTGGGTGCCACCAATCAAAAAGACGCACACTGTGTACAGGGTCCATTATAACTTGAACTCCATGGTCAAATCTTGGTTTTTTGCCACTCCAAACTGGTGAATCGTGGAACACCATTTTCACTCTGTGATGTCTCATGTCAGTGCTCACATTTATTGTGAACTGCAAAAGAAGTAAAACAGAAAATCTTCAATAGCATGCATTACTCACATCCTCTGAGTGGATAGTGTTACACACAAGCAAGAGGATTTGAGCCTATGTTTGCACCTTAATCTCTGAGGAAACTTGTCAAGTCAGTTTTGAGCAGCTGTAAGAATCAGCATTATTTACACTCAACAGCTATATATACAGTGACTATCTATACACCATGAAGTTTAGACTCTGATGAGCAGAGATTATGCCCTGCTCTCATTATACACTATGGACATACTTTCTATACTAGCAAGACTGGCACAAGACAGATTGCTCTGTGCATTAAGACGTGCAGTGATAAGCACAGCATTTCAGCACCTACCAAGGTAACTGTCATCCCCATGACTATAGGAATATATATAAAATCAAGCGTAGTGATCTGTAGTAAGCAGCAGTCTTGGTCAGGGTTCACATGTACATCTTCATATCGGACTGGTGGCTGAAGTCGTCTCAGACACTTATTCCTGAACTTGGGAGACTCAAAAGAAATACATACAATTCACTTTATAGAAAATGATTCTATATCTACAAACTTTCACCACTGAATATGGTCCCTACAGACTTAAATTTGGGTAAGATGGAAAGCATATGCCATGGAATGAACACTTGTTTTTGAGGAATCAGGACTAGTCCCTAATTGGCTTCACTTATTCTTTTCTTAACTGAAAGGGACTGATTATTTTTTGAAACTTTCTATAAGAATCTGCAGATACTAAATGAAAATATTTGAATTCTGAGCACTAGATATGCCATGGTATGATTACAGAAGAATAAATATCATCTAATTCAAGGATGGTCAGCCAGTGGAAATCAGGGCAAAAGCAGACTTGATTTAATCCTCAATCTTCTCCAGACACCACTTCCAGCACACTATCAAATGTTGCAACACAGCACGGGTATGAGGGGTCCTCTCTGAGCATAAGCTGCAATTTTGGAAGCATTCTGTCCACCTGCCCATTTTGGGTCAGATTGTGTAGCAAGACACCCCTTCCACTCATCAGTTGCTAACTAGAGACTAGAACAACCATCACAAATGCACACTTGGTCTACTATTTCAAAATGAGAAAGAAGGTGTCTGTTGATCAAAAATTAAGGCTTTAGACAATCAGTATAGGAAGTGAACTAATGGCCTCTTGCTTCAGATATGCATTAATTACATCTTTCCAGGCTCTCTCTGCCATATAACAATTTTCATTTGCCAAGTGACCTTCAATGCTTTTTCAAACTAATGAAGTTGTTCAAGTAGAAATTAGCAGCATCACCTCTTTTAATTATTTTAAATTGCTGCTTTTCATGGCTATTTTAATACTGTAGATTTAATTCGTTACTATTGCTTTTCCTTCTTTGTAGCTTGCTCTGTATACTTATTGGTAGATGAGTTGAGCCCCCCACACACATTCTAAAATGTTGCTATCTGATATTGGTACGTATTTCTCTTTCATACCTGCTTTTGGAATTTGAAGCTGAATTCCCACAGTGAAGACTGCCGGTCAACCTTTTTAGCCCAGAAAAGCAGGCACTAATCCAGAAAAGAGAAGGATTTGTGATATGTAGACTTAAGCTAGGTAGATATTAAGTTGCTCATTATAATACAGTCTGTTTAATAGTTGGAACTGCCCATGAATCAGAATCCTTATATTTAAAGTACAGCCTAACACATGCCCATGGCATGATGTGCACACAAGAAGAGCCATGCTGGATTGGATCCAGGATCCATCTGGTTCAACAGCTTAGCACTAATAGCTTAGTGCTATCAACATTGACTGCTGTTGGCTGTCCAGGAGAGGACCCTTTCTCAGGCATACCTGTAGATGCTAGAGGTTGAATCTGGGACAGTCTGCAAGCAAACTTTGTACTCCATTACTGGGCTACGATCCCTCTTGCAAGCCAGACGCCTCTGGAGAAACTTATACTACTGTGGTGTAGGTTACACTCATATTGAAAATTTGGCAGCAGAGCTACCATTCTACTAATTTGCTAGTTAGCTACAAGCTTTATTAATCCCCACCCTGTTGCCTTGAAAAATATGACCAAAGCAAAAACTGCTGTCCTGTGAAAATACCACTGCAAAACAACATCTACTGAAAAACTATGCCCTTGGTTGTATGTACTGGACAGACAAGTACCTACAGTAATAATGTAAGGCAGCAGGCCTTAAATCTTTTATGAAGGGGACGTGCACAGTTCAAACTATAATTAAGTGCAGAAGCATGCTCCCTGAACATAATCCCACTCCTTTGAGCAGCACTGAATATTAGTTACAAGGAGGAAGATAGTTAAGCTTATGAGTACCTCCTAAGGGGCAGAGGATGTCATCCACATGCCAGCTGTCCTACCCTTCAGATGTGTACCATGTGGCCTGCTGCTCCAAACAGTGAGGGTGTCTTTAAGGGCAAACTTCTGCTGACACCACAACAGCTCCAGTGTCCCACAGAAGCTACATTGGGAAAGAGAAAGGGACATTAAATAGGAAGAGCTGGATTCAGTAACAAAAATACCAAGTCTCTCTGCTTTGCATGCTCAACATATGGAGCCATTCCTCATTAATGAGAAGAGACTCCAAATAGGGAAAACCAAAATCCAAGTGTAAAGGTTCTCTGGTTGTACAGTGTGTAAAGACACTACCGTACACACAAATTGCATTTGCATGACTTGCATTTCAGTAATGCCAAGATACAGTGGAATCAGATTAATGGAAAATGTCTATGCTTTTAGAATTTAAGTCAAACCATAACTGTTACTGCAATACAGACTTTTGATATTTAATTTCCTTTTGCAAGTTATTACTTTTTCCAGACCAGGGATGTATAAATTATTAGTACTATAGCAACATTAGCTGTGGACACCAAAGCCGTTGTGATGTAAACATGAAGAATCCAAGATGTCAATTCTTCTGTCTCCACTGGATTGGGAATTAGCTAACCTCAACACCTCTTAGAACTGGAAAACTTTGACAGTGGGCTATAAGGTGCTTTGACAAAGCTATTAGTCATGCAACACACCATCAATGGACTTTCCAGAAAGAAACAATGCTGTCACAATCTGGTGTTTTATACACAGAAGGAAAATGTATATCTTTTAAGTATAAACATTTTAATTTCTATTAGCAAAGACATTTATAAGATGCAAGTTGATAATACAAAGAGCACTCCTAAGACAAAAAACACGTAGATTTTAACAAGTGGCCTCATTCACATGTATTTTATTACAAATAATAAAAAAAAGACATTAGCTTAACTGGATAGGAGCACTTTTCTTCAAACACATACTTTTGAATTTTTTAGAGTGCTTGGAGTAGACTCTGGAATAGCTGGATTCCTGGATATCCGAGAAACAAAAGGTCGATACATATGGTATAAAGAGCGAATTACACATGCACGGAGGCAGTACATCTTTTCTATTGACTCTGGCTGTAAACGGATTGGGAGGTATGCATTCCTGCAGTAGTGCCTAGAGAAAATTCAATACAAATCATTTTAAGGCAGAAATACCAAACATTATCTAAAACAGTGTTTCACACTTTGAATTTGCCCCCCATACTCAAAACACATTCAATCTTCTGCACACACCACCATTTCCATCATCAAATATCTGTTTCACAGTGCAGCAGGCACAGATTCTTGCACAGTCAAGTGCATGTAGTCTGATCATGTGTCAAAAAACTGTGTACTGAAGAACTAAATCAACACCTATATAAGAAAGAGAACAAAAACTGTATTTGGGGAACCTCCATCAGAACAAAGCAGCAGTTCTTCCCATAATTGGAACAGGGTGATGGGGCAAGTGGAACAGCAATCATTGTAACAAATCCAGTGCAAAGCAATGAGGATTCTCTGCCAGAAAGCATATATCCCAGTCATAAGCCCACCCATGTGTCCTACTAATATGAGGAAGGCTTCACTGTCCTCTCCTTGGAACTCTCCTTAATAGTTTTGTAAAACTACTAGGCCACTAACTAAAAATAAACTGCTACCTTCAAAATGCATGCCCTATCAAGATTTTTCTTACAGTACCATGCATCAAGATATGGGCAGCCAACACGCAAACAGTTCAGCAATCTAAGCTTATCAGTAAGACTCAAGACAGGAAAAAGAATTCAGAATAGATATTAGATGTTCTGGGATGTTTCTTTTTCATCTGTTTCTTATTATGCAATTCACTTCCAAGCTGCTACATTAAGGTTGCTCACTCATAACTTAAATATAAGTAGTGTTATCGTATGGAAGTCCAAGGATAAAATAATTTAACATTAGCTAAACACATTAAGCTAACGCTACACCAAGTACAAAGCTGTTTAACATGTTGACCTACTCAGTGATCCCTTGGGTGTGTTCTTCCTGCCCCTTCATGTTAGCTAAATGAGGTATAGCTTTGTACCTCATCCTGAGAAGACTTGCATGAGCCAGAACTTTATGCAGTGTGTCAGTATCATATGTTGTTTGTGGAAGAATGCATCCTAACAGGGCTGCAGTTCTTTTCCATTATCCCTGACTTGCAAGACAATATAGATACATGAAGTATGAAATCTTGTAGACTGGATAAGGCAACAGAGGATGATTTCACAGCCATAAATGGCCCTTAAAAGAAAGTCTAATAAAGAGCCCTAGTTATTACTACCTAGAATACCTTAATAGCCTTCTTTAATTTCCCTTTGAAGTGATTTGACAGTGTCACTGTGACTTTATATATTTCATATGCCGTTGCACACCAGTTTAGTTGTGTCATGCATGTTTGGTATGCATTCAGTATTACTGTTCCAATCAAACTGAGTTTATCTTGGACTTGGACAGTCTGGAGATATTGCAATTTCCATTTTATCATGATGACACATTTTGGAAGTCAATGTTACAATAAGCATTGTGACTAATTTCTGTACACACTGTTTACATCCAACTGAATAGCAAAGGCTCCTACATCACCAAGACTATCTAGTGAATAAATCATTTACATGGTGACATACCTTTTATAAAGTCTGGTCCAAAAGGCAGCAGTGCAAGTGACAGTCCAGGCTCTTTTACAAATGAGAGAAAAATTCACAGTGTCTTCTGGACGTATGTAGGATGCCAGCATCAACCAAATATCAATAGGATATTCTTTGCCTACTATCCCATCCAAATTTTCTGAAGATAATAAAAAAGTTTCCTTTTATTGCTGCAAATCAGCTCATGGTAATCACCTAATGATAGAATATCTAGGATTATCCCTTCAACAGCACATGAAGTAGCAAAACAATTGGCTCAAGTTCATCATGGCCAAGGAGAAATTTGAAGCCAGAGCTTCCTAGTGCTAATCCCCACTGCTTTTAACTAGAACTTTGTTTTCTTAACTGATAATGGTAAGAGAAAGGTAGTGTACATGCCAGTAACTAAATATAAAAAAGTGTTTCGGGCAGTTAAATAGTTCTCATGTAGGTAATATTCAAGAAGCTATTCAGTTGAGAAATAAGAATTTCAAGACAAACTTCTGTAAGCAGTATTTAATCACAGTTCTTACCTTTATGTCTTTTGCTTTTCTTTTTTCTAGTCAATATTGTATCATTGGTATCCTTAGAATCCATTTCATCACTACTACCACAGGACTCTACCACTGATAATACTTCATCAGTAGGTACACAAGATGCTTCCACACCACAGAGCGATTTTACTAAAACCACAAATACAGCAAATATGTTGGGATACATACTGGGATCTTTACTTTTATTATCCAACCACCAGAGCCGAAATAATAGGAAAAATGGTTCCAAATACATGTACTTCATTCTACATTGCTACTGGATTGCACTTGTGATGGCATGGAATGTTCAGTTTTTCAAGGAACTTGGCAGGATACAGTTCAGATTATTTAAGGAAGGGAAGTTGTCAGCTGGTTGGGATTAAAACCCCACACAGAAGCAAGCCAAGGACCTGGAAAGCCAAGGACTATTTCCTATTCTGGGAAACAGCCAAACTAAGAGGGAATCTAGAGACAGGATACTGAAGAAAGGGTGCAGAGACCAGGGAATGGACTATGGTGGAGAAATCTGAAGAAAGGGTAATTTGAGCAAAGGGCTAGGAGCTTGGGGAAAGAAAGGGCTAATTTGAGAAGGGCTGCTTATAGAAGTTCTAATGTAAGAGGCGTGTAAAAAACAGGAAGCTTCAATCTACAGGCTGTAGACACATCAAGTTTAAAAATGAGGTGCCCAAAGGGAAGCCAGACTGGGGCAAAGCTACACATATCTTCTAGAGATAGGAGCTGTATGTTACTGACAAGGAGATTTGGAAGAGTGGGTATTCCAGATCCCAAGTGCCATAAATGAGACAACTTAGTATTACCAATCCAGAGTCCCCAGGGGAATTCTGCCTTGGACTGTTACTGAAGAATTGTGACCTAGCAACTATACAGGCTGAAATGAAAGAAGGTAGGAGATGAGTATCTGCATGTCACCTGCTGATTGATATTAACCATTGGTTATTTGGCAATTGGGCTCTTTTAGCTCATCATTGCTTATAACAATATTTCTTAATTTTTGATACCCAAGGTACTTTTTAAAAATTAAATGCAGACATGATCTCTCTCTTTTATTTAAAGACTCATATGAATTTCCTTTTATCAGCTTCCAAGAAAAGCGGTAAGCATCCTCCTTGTAACAGCATGATAGCACAATTAATTCTGAGAAATGGGGATGTTCCATTTGTCAAATGCTGGCTGCAACAAAGAAATTTGGTATGTTTTTCCTCAAAATTTCATTACTTGTTCTAGATAACCGGGTCAATTCTACAAGGTAACTCTTGCTTCAACAGGGCTACAAAGGGAAATGCATAGTAGCTTAATGGATTTTTTTCGTATTGAAGTTCTACCGTTACAAAGCGGCAGGCAAACAAGAGCTACCATACAGTACCACCCAGCATTTTTTTTATAAGTGCCTCAACTCCAAGGAGTTTTTAGTGCTACTCCAACACCAGATGGCTTTTGAAGCGGGTCCCGGAGTAAACCGAAACTCCTGTGGGCCCGCCATCCACGGACATACCTTCCTTCTGCACCGCATTGGCCACCGCCTTTTTCACGCGCCCAGATTTCACCACGGCAGGGTCCGAGTTGGCGTAGTCAGCCACGGTCACTGCGCAGGGAAAGCGACAGAGGTCAAGGGCCGCGACAGGATACAATGGCTGCCACCGGCCACGACAACGGCGCCCGATTACTCACCGCGCTCCAAGCAGACGTCGTCGGCCCGAAACTTGAGACGCTTTCGGGTGCCGCGCTTGCGCATGGCGGAGGGGGGTGCCGCTACCGGTCGGTCTTGGGGCGCCATTTCGTCAGCAGGGGCCGAGCCGCGGAGCCTCGTCCGTCGGCTCGGAGAAGCTCCCTAGCCATCCCGCACTCGGTAGCACCCTAACCCGACGTCAGGGCAACTCTCGCGACAACTAGAACATCTCAGCGCGCAGGATGAACGTCATCAACTTGCGACGATACTGGATGCTGTTATGTGCGCTGCCGCATAGGGACTGGATAATTATGCCCGCTCTTCTTCATGTACAGAAATTATTTTCCGTGTCTTGATTTAAAATGTTTGGGGTGGACTTCCAATAAAAGGCTTTCACTACCCGACGCAGTTGCTGAGACGGTCCAGTGAGATCCTTGGAAGAAGCGTGGGATGTAATTTTGTTCTTTTCTAGATGCTTTCCCCTTCCTCTGGCCGCCTACCACCAACTGATCAAAACCAAACCAAACCACCTTTGATTCGGAACTTACTGAAACTTTCCTTGGCTCTGAGCCGTGACTACATAAACAGTTTTCTGCAGCATAGTTGACACAGTATGAAATATTCATGTCTTTTTTTCTTACTCTTGAAGAAAGAAAGAAAGTTAAACTGCGGATGTACAGAGTTCCTTTAAGACAGCCTTCACAGATGAACCGAGTAGCTTTTACTGCAAGTAAGGAGCCTATATGCCACTGGAATACACTGCCAACTTAGCTGCTTGTCCCCACACCTTTCACTACATAAGCAAGGTATTTGAAAAGAAGCAGAGTATGTTATCTTCCTGTGGTTGGGGAGCAGTCAGCTTTTTCTTTGGGCTGCATCTTCTTGGAGACGATACTCAGCATTTGGAGGTAAATGCTCCTCCAGATCTTCTTGTAATACTTCTCCCCTCAAATAATCGCAAGCAGCCTAACAAGACAGCTCAGCTCAAGTCTCCTTTTCTCCAAGCCTCAAATTGTCTCATTAAAGTCTTAACATACTAACAGACATCAGGACATGTTTAGATTCATTGTCCAAATAGCTTACCCTCAAGTTTTCCCATACAAAATGAAAACTATCTCCCATTTCTTCATTTATTTCTTTCATTAGATTACAATTAGTTTTTCCCTTCCATTGTCTTAAACTTCTATTGCTGGCAAAATTGTTGCTTTCCTCCTAGCTAAGAATTAACTAAGAGTTATAGGCTGAAAAATTCTAGTTACATACTGGAAGAAACAACACTTCATATAGATTGAAGAAATATTCTGCAAAGGCCCAAGTAACAGATTAGGATTTCTTACGTGATCCACATTAAATGGTGCTGTATTAACCATAAATAGGATTGCCAACTGATCAGGAAAGAATGGCCTAGTTTTCATTTGTGATTTGAAGAAATGCTTGATCTTCCAGCATTAGATGGTATTTTTCATATTACTGAGTGCTTAATTGCAGATCAGGTTGCTGTTTAAGGCACAGAAGTTGCAACACATAGAAACTCAAATTTATTCATGGCAGAAGTACCAGTCTCAGAGGGCCTAAGTAAAAAAAAAAAAAAAAAAAAAAAAACCTCACTTTGGTTCAGTTCTACTCTGACTAAAACATTTGCAATAAGATGTGCATGATTTAAGGAGTAAAAACACTTTAAATTCAGATTATGTTTTGACTGAAACTGAATGAGACTCTTTGGGGTTAGATTAGGTAGGACTACAATCATAGATTCAATATGGAGTAAGTCCCACTAAACTTAAACATGAACAGGACTGTGCTTTAACATTCAGGTATTGGTTTGACAGGCCTCAACCAATTCAAGTAGCATGGGGAAATTCTGTTCATACACTTCTAATACATAATCAAGGATGGAACAAGTTTTTTGGTCTAACTTCTTAGGAAGTGCATACAGAGTAAAACTTGGCTGCAGTTTGCTAAAAGGGATTATAAAGCCTAAAGATTCAGGCTGAAAGTGAGCTTTATTTTAACACCCCCCCCCCCCAAAAAAAGAAAACCCCTTAGTTTTATAACAAAGACTTTTAGCAACACCTAAAAATGATCTTAGCAATATTGCTGTCTGAGCACTACACAAGGAATTTATGCTACATGTAAATACTAAATTTTCTTCTTTCTAAACTACTATCTACATGTACTGAAATAAAGTATAATGTTAAAGCCAGAGACCTTCATCATGATTACTGTTTTGGGATCCTAGAGGACACCAGAAAATGGAAGCCAGGAAAAAAACCCCTTTGCATAAAGTATTCAATGGGACTTAGACTACAATCATATGCACACTTACCTGGGACTATTAGATTTCTTTGATGCTGGAGTAAGTCATAGCAGGGCTCCTGTAGTTTTAACAGTGGCAGGAAGAAAACCAGCAGTTAATGTTCAAGCTGCTGCATTTATACCTGCCATGCACATAAACCCAGCCAAACAATAGGGGGCAATCTGATCTAAATGTTAGAATATTACTGGTTTGCCTAGAATGTCGTGGTCTTCTACTGCTGTTGGAACAGGAGATTAAAAAGAGAGATGATGAATTCCTAGCTTTTTTTTATTGTTTTTACTTTGTGTTAGTCTGTATCTTGCTAAAGTTATATGCAGATTTATCCACCCCTTTAGTGAATTATTACAATTGTTAAATATAATACAACAATAAAATATAGCATTATAGCATTAATTACTAAATCCTTTGTGTGTGTGTCACGATTCCACTACTACTTATGCATTTGAACATCCAAGAAGCTTTTGCATAAGAGTTCGGTATATGCTTACTCAGAAGTAGGTCCCATTGAGTTTAAAGGAATTTACTTTCAGCTAAAGCTCATCACCAAAAGTTCTTGTGTAAACTTTAGTCTTTGGCATAAGATGTTTTCACAAGGAAGGGAAAGAATTAGAAATCTGTCATCATTGCACCTGATTTGGCTGAATTTCATACCAATCCATGTTAAGAATGAGCAATGGGAAGAGAATACACACACACATACTGCAATTAAAAATAAATGGTCAAGATGGCTTACAACAATATAAACATCATAGAACTAAAACAGCTTACAGGGAGTGTTAAAAATCTAGCAAAGATAGAACAGCAGCAATGTAAAATGTTGGGAAAAGTAAAAGGTCTTTGCCCAGAAACTGCTGCTTCTATCAATGAGAGAGCCCTCTCTCCGTTCATCATCCATCTCAGATGGCATCAAGGGTGTTAGGAGGAGAGTTTTTCAAGTACCTTTTAATGCATGATCTCAGCTATCTGGGCTCCTTCTAAGAAAACTTCAACTTGTAGTTGTAAAAGGGATAAACAGGGAGAAAACCCCCACCAGTATTATATTGTGCTTTTATAAACCTGCGGTGTGGTGACAACATTTTACAGTCTTGATTTTCCTAATTTCTTGTTGTAATCACACCATACTGAATCTGGAAAAGGTACAGAACAGAGCAGTCAATAGTTGGGGCATCTCCTCAGTATGGCTAGTTTTTCTGTTTTTATTTTTTGATGCTGTTTGGTTAAGGAAAATATGGGGACATTATAGAGCACAGGCGGTGAACTCCTGGTTTATGAGGCCCTTCCTGGTTTAAGATTGTGAACTTAAAAATATTTTTCCTGGCTTTCTCTAATTCTTCTTTCTTTGCAGCAATTCAGCTACAATGTTAAATAATATTTCATATAGCATCATTGTTTAAATATGCATTTATTGAACTTGTCAGTGGCCAATAATTCAGCCTTCTCTTCTCCCTGCCAGAATCAAATCTAGAAATCACGTCTTATTAAAAGCACAGAGGAGACTTGGAATAGAGAACAATTTGAGGAGCAGGTCTGTAGCTAGGCTATCATAGCATCTGAGAATAGTGAGCTTCCAGGGTTTTATAAAAACGTGGCTTTTGCGTTAACAATGCTTCCACGAATGTATTATCCCTGGAATCTCCTCACCCAGTATATAATCATACAGCAGTGTTAACTATAGTCTTATGCGCATCTACTCAGCCCTATTACGTTCAATAGAACTTAGTCGCAGGTGTTTGTTGAATTGCAGCCAAGCTGACTCGCCCGGATATAGAACTCTCAACTTTGTAATGGAACAAACTAAGCATTCTACCCTGTGCTTGTTTCCTTACAGATAGCCCCTTAAGCTCCCATTCCCAATCTCAGTGAAGTTTACTTCTGAGTAAACGGGCATACAGTCCACCTAGCAAATAAAAACAGGTGAATACGCACTGATCTAACTCAAAGCAATAATACTCCCACTAACTGTAGGACAAGGATCATTATATAGCTGCTTTTCTGGTGGAGAGGAGAAAGGAGACCAGCCAAAGGCGCTGATCCATAGAACAGATTTCCAATGAAAAGCGGTCTAAGTAAGCTCATTGAGGCTAGACGCAAGCAGCCCACACTCTTGCTGCGCTCTCCTTATCCGCATGGGGAGAGGCGGGGCCAGTAAGAAGCTCGTGTAGGGATGGCTTTGTCCTATTGAAACGGAGATGATTAATATTCAGGAGGGCAGGCGGGATTAAGCGGGGGGTGTGGTTGTATTTGAGAGATGGAGGGGCGTGGCCTGGTGCGAGCAGGGAATGTTTGGTCGCCGCTGCGATAAGAGATTTCTTTCTGAAGCCGGTGAGCGGCGGTCTGTTTCTAAGAGCGGTAAGATGGAGCCGTACCTTTCGCTCTGTCCCTCCGCTTCTCGGAGGCGGCATACCCGGATGGAACGGGAGCGGGCGTTACAGAACCGGGAATTTAGTGGGGGAAAGAATAACGTGGTTGTTTGGCGGTGCCGGTTTTTGTCGTTACATTTGAGTTGCCGCAGCTAGCCGGGCATGGATGGATGGATGAATGGAGGAGCCCCGGGCGACTCGCGCAGCGGCCCTTTCGTGGCTTGAACCGACGAGGGGAGCGCGCCGCTCGCTCGCTCGCTCGCTCGCTCGCTCTCCAGGCCTTTCTGCCCGCCTGTCCTTGCCGCAGCACGCCAGCCCCCCTCCCATGGTTCCGCCGCGGCTGCGGGGGGCAACTGAGGCCGCGAGTAGGTGCCTCGCGTGACTCGTGGGTGGCTGCACGTACATGCCACCCTCGGCTTTTGGCTTGCCGTCACGCGAGGGATGCAGAGCCTTGGTGGTGGGTTGCCTCTGCGGTCCACCGGCGATGTGGACTGCGGGCTGTCTGGCAGCCCCGCTGGC